TCGTGACTGGACTCCTCGTCGTCTCGGTCCAACAAATCCTCGAGGCTGGCTGCGCGCCGAAACCGCTGCACCGACGCGCGACTCTTGTTCGTCTCGCGCAGAGTGAGGTTAAGGTACTTGCACTTGAGCTTGTTGACGATCCCCGGTCCGTATTGCAGCTCCTCGGAACTGTCGCTCTCCGCTTCCTCGCTGGAGGCGCGACTCGGTGGGGCGACCAGCATACTTTTCAGTACTCTAAAGTTACCACCGTGGAACATCTCCTTATCGCGTCTTCCGGTCAAGACGGCGCGAATCTCGTCGCGCTGCGACGACTCGTTGCTCTCGTTACTCTCGTTCATCCTCGCTCTCAACGGCTTGCCGTCCGCCGTTCTCGAGGTCGCGTCCTCGTTCTCTTCGCCCATGTTGTAATCCGACAATTTCCGTTCCGACGAAATGTCCGCGAATTTAGCCGGCGCGCCGTTCACGACATCCTCCGCGTCCGAGCAGAGCGATAAATCCGCCTCGAGACGCATGTTGTACGCGACTGGTAGTGGCGACGCAAAGTCGACGGCCGCCACCGTTGCTCCGCCGGCGGCGGTGGTGGCGCCACCGGACGGCGGCCTTCTCGTGGAATAGGAGGGGGAGGAAAGCAACGCAGCACTACCAGCAGCCGTGCTATCCTCGTTGGTCGCCGTTAAGCGCGCCGCACGAAGCGCGTGATGCTCCGTCGCTGCGCTCTGCTCGACGACGCCGCCGCCGCCGCCGCCGCCGTCGGGCGTCGTCGCGCTCGACGACGTTCCTATCACCGCGCTGCACAACTTGACGCTCGCGCCGTTGTTCGCGAGAACCTTGCTCTGCTGACGGCGACGCTGTATCAGGTCGCGTTTCCATTGCGGTACGTTGCTGGTGCCGCTCGTCTCGTTACCGGCGCTCGCCGTCGCGTTGCTGCCGGCGGTAGCCATGTTGAACGCGCGCCGTCAGTATTCAAGTAACTCTCTCTTGCTCTTTCCGTCGCTCGATCCTTCTCTCACCGTCGCGCTTTCTCTCTTTCTCTCGTTCTCGCGGCTTCCTCGCGGCACCACACACCGCGACGTGCGCGCGTACGCACGTACGTACGTTGATAACGTACGTCGTTCTTACGCGGTTATCTTGACTGCGCGAAAGCTCCACCTCTTCATACTCTCGTACTTGGAAATTCTTACCGGCGACGAGTCGTACCGGCCACACACGATCGCCGGAAAATCGATGACTGCAGACATACGGCGTCGAGCACGCGCGCGAACACACACGGTCTTGCGAGGGAGAGACGAAAGTACTACGTTCGTTGCTCCGTCCGTGTCTCTGGTCGTATCGTCCGAGCGGATGTTTACATGCTTTCGCGGATTCTACTGATCCAGATCCAGGGTGCCTTTCGATTGATCGCGGTGAGAAAGGGCTCTCCAGAGCGTTGGATGCTCTACGCGAAAATCGATCACCTTTCCATTCTCTTCTCTATCTCTCTCTCTCTCTCTGTCGCTATCCTGCTCCCACCGAAAGAGCGGCACTCTTCTGTTTCGCAAAAGCGCGTTCACCTGCCGCTCTCGCGATCGTTCCTGATCGGTCCACACCGCGTTGCCGCGTTGCCGCGAGCGATTCAAGTGATTGAGATTGAACGGATGGAAAACCGCACCTGTGCCGCGGAGCAAATCAGAACATCCGTCGCACACGCGCACGGCACTGCGACGACAGTCGAGAATCCACGAGAATCGCGAATCCCGTCGTCACGTCGTCGCTGCAAGCGCGCGGCCAAGTGTCACGACTGTCACGAGAACGCGATAAATACGCGCCGTCGCTCTAACGCGCGATGACGATGACTGGCATCACAGCCGACGTCCGCCTCCTGGCCTCCTGGAGTGCGGCGGGCCACGGCGGCACCGCGAGAGCCGGCCCACTCGACGAAATCGAAAGTATCTCTCTCGAAGCCTGCCGTTCTCGCGTGCGCGAGCGCGCGCGCTCACTCACGTGTGCGTTTAGTCCGTATTGTATACGTACACCGAAACCCTCGCCCTCGGCCGAGTCGAAAGGCGAAACGCGGCAACGCGCCTGTCCTGTCTCGCGCAGCTCGCGCTTCCCTCCGCCGTCGATCGCCGGCCGGAGTCCGGAGTCGCCGGAGATCGCCTCTCTCTCGCGCCGGCCAACAGCCTGCCCTCCTCTCTCTTTTCACTTCTCTGCGCGTTTGTGTTGTATGCGTGCGCAAAGCATTGTGTGCGCTGCCGTTGGAACGCGCGCGCCAAATCACCCCTCCTTTCTTGCACTGCCTTTTTCCCCTCTTTCCTCTCTTTCTCACTTTCTCTCTCTCTCTCTCTCTCTCTCTCTCTCGCTCGTTCGCTCGCTCGCTTGTTTGCTTCCTCTTTGACGCTCTCCCGCCGCGTTCGACTCTGTACTCCGTAATGTCACTCCAACAAGCGGCGAAGGCGCTTGTATCGGGCACATGAACGTGCGAACGCAAAAAATCGAAGCGTTAGGGTTGCAACGGCGGGGACACGCCGCGGTTTTAAGGGTTGATCCGTTATACCCACGTCGGTGGTGTATGCGAAACGGATCTCGGTAATCCGCAAACACTCTACGTTTACGTTAAACGAGGTGTTCGATATCAGCGAATGATCGATTGATACGGTTTATCTTGTTTGATAAATGAGTGTACCATTTCTGTCACGTTATACAATCTCTCCATCATCGATTGATGTTTAAATTAGTGCGTGATAATAACTTTATTAATTATTATTAAATTGTTAATCGTTAAAAGTTATCATGCGCAAATATTCGGATATGAAATATGCGTCCTATAAAATATGTCCGCAATATATGCGTGCAAATTTCTGTATTAAGATTACTTATTACTTATGTGCGATGACCCGGAAATCCGCGATATGCGGAACTGTCTCATAACGAGCAAGTCATTGTAGTTTGAACCTGTGCTCTAAAAAGTATGGGTATGAATTTAGCACTGTGGGTGTTAAGAATTATATGTATAGTCTCTGCGAAAAGTAGCTGAAATTAGAAGTTCGTACATTCCGTACAAAAATAAATGTTATGTACATACAGTTCAATAAGGTTAATACTTAATATTTATTGTAATAATTTTATAATTTAAATGAAATTTTTTTCATGTTATCTTTATTTTTAAAAATGTATCTACTGCTTTTTATTGAAATCATTTTTTATCCAGATTCTAAGTTTCTATCAAACTTTTTGTATTGCTTGCAAATAAAATACAAAAAAATTTGTAACTTTTTAATTATTTTTTTATTTTGTAAAAAGTACGTATAATACATCTTTATATATAATTCTTACCATGTCAGTGTTGATATAAACACAAACGCAATAAAAATTCTACAAACACCGTTATGAGACTGTTCCGCATAACGCGGATTTCCGAGTCATCGCACATAAGTAATAAGTATCTTATTGCTGGTAATATTAAATCCACATCCATATTTTTTAGAGTGTAGTTACTTTATTTAAAATAACTTAACATTTAAGTGTTGACGGGTTGACCAGCTCGTTACGAGAAAGTAAATCTCCGCCCAGATCGAAGCGAATCATCCCTTATCTCCTAAAGTTGTCTCATCACAGCGGATTAAATGCACGCGTATATCGTCCGTTTTCCCTGATTTACCCTCTGCGTTTATCGCGAACGTTACACTCCCGCCCGCGTGGGTGTTATTATGTCGACCCTTCCGTAATTTACATGCGCTCTGTTCTAGACGACTCGCAAAATGGTCTGCTTCCTGCGCTCTCGGCACCCGCAATCACGACAAAGTCTATCCGCAGTAATGCACATGCTGGAACATCCACCGTGTATTACACTCCGCAAAAATATAGGCAAGATAGAGATCACGATATATTGTTCTTCCAACTCTCAATAAATTTCGTAGACATGTAAGTAATGATATATAAATTCATAGGTTCTTATATACATTTGGGATCATTAATTCCTTAATATATGTATAAACTAGTATTATGTATAATATTGTTAATTTTATTATATGTTATTATTATAAAAATTTATTAGCGAATAACTAATAATCGTGATGCGCGTATATTTTAAGACACGCGTCCCAAATATGCTCCGATAAACTGAAAAAATACATTAAATTTTAATAAATATTTGTATGAATAATTCCAAGTAAATATTTATTAAATTTCAACGTATATTTATTTGCTACAAGAACCATCAATTTGATTCAACCGTCATGTTTATTGAGTAAATATTTGTTTACTGTAAGTAAATGTTTACTTAGTGCTATTAAGAAAATATGTATTAAGATTTAGTAAATCTTTTCCGGCTTATATGTATGCAAAGCTCTTATACAACTTCTTATTAGGTGCTTTCCATTTGGCGACACAAGTGTCGTTCTGTCTTTATTGCTCTCTGTCAAGAAAGATAGTACGATGTTTGTGTCGACTTGTGTCATTAAATGGAAAGCAGTAATTATGTTTCTCTCATATGCATGAGATCATGTTATTAAAAAAATAATATTAAATTTTAATTAATTTAATATTGGACAAGCAAACACCAGAAATCCTTTCCCATACAATTTCTGTCCTTGATTTCTACGCTCATTCTGACGTGTAACGAGAATTTAAAATTATCGTGGAACGTTCGATATTTGAATGTTTGAAGCTCGAAAGGTATTCGATATCCCGAAGGGAAAGTAAATCGGCATGTAGACTCTATGTATCGGGATCGATGCCTTTCCATGGTCGCGTAACAACGTAATGTCGTCGACTTGAGCGCTAAACCTGCCAAACCGCTATATTATACTTCATTATATATACTTCACTATATATTAATTCTTAACCACTGTATTATTATTGATTGAGTTATATCAACTTTAAAAAAATTTTCATCTTTACACATATCTTTGTTACGTATAAAGTAGACTCTTCTTTTGTATAGAATAAAATATAACACAGGAAATGCATCGAATAAGACGTAGCAATTTAATTTATTTTGTGGTACATTTATCAATTATTTTCAAAGTATTTCGAAAATTTCAAATTTAATTTTTATATAAAGCAAAATATTCCATTTCGAAGTTTATCATTTCTTTAAATTGAGAAAGATCAGTCTTGGTTGCATCTTGTTAATGATTATTATTAGATACGTCTTAGTAATAGGACTTTCATTACTTAACTACGTAACTTTCATACAAAGTTCCATCAGTTGCTATTAAATGAGCACTTTCGGCTTTTGTGGATTACGATATGATGATACGGTTCGTGCTTCTCGGTAGCTATAAAGTGCTTTACTATCGACGTTAACATCACGTCGCTCCCTTCCGTATTCAGTTCAACAATTGTCCGAGGGATGTTAAAGCAGCGCATAATTATCGGTAAAAACGGTGAAAGGTTCATCTTGATGGCAACGTGATTATCTACGGCTGGTCGTTACATCGGCCATGATTATCCTCCTTGCGTGATGCGATCGTCCGCGTTACACTGACGAAAGACTTTCGCATGATCCTTATTCTCAGTCTCGTTACGATTGAGAGCAGGAGAACGTAACGGGCGCCACAATTACACAAATAAGAATACGATTACGCGTACCTATTCCGGTATTAAATTACGTCGCGCTAGAGGCGTTGAGCAAACATGATTGTGGCAAACGTTGCGTGTTATTTAGAAAATTTCGTTGGACGTTAGAATCTGAAGAAGCTCACTTTAAATGATTTATAATTCGTGTCAGAAAAAAGGGAGTGAACTCTGTTTATGATATCACGTGCCGTGTAAAATAAAAAATATTTCTCATATTAAGTATACTTAATTTATTAAGTATACTATTATTTATTATTATAATTTATTTTATTATTTATTTTATTTGTTATTTATTATTTATTATTTTTATTTTTTATTTTTTATATGGGTACTATAGTACCCATGTTAAAAATATACCGTTTATGAAAGGAACAATGGTAACCCAATCCCTCAAGTTAAATACATTTTGTTATTTTTAACTTCCATTTATAATTAAATATGAGTCAAATTTAATGAATTTTCGTGAGTCAAATTGTCTACCTGCACTATTTTAGTCAAATTAACGACATGTTGGATGGAAGTAATGGCGATCTATATAAAAATGATTAAAAATAACTCAAATTGGGTATAATTTTACCTTAGGAGCAGTGTGTATTAAAAAGATATATTAAAAATACAACGTACACTATAATTATCAAGATACACGGCATATAAACTTATGAAATCCGTCGAGAAATCTGACGTGAGTCATAAATCGTCTAAAGCACACTAGACCGATCGATGTACGTACGTATTGTATAATATGTACGTACATTAAAATTGGAAAAACATCCGGCAGAAATTATTCGATAGAATTATCGTATGGCAGATGCATGCTCGATGTTTATCTTCGCTACTCCGACGACTGCATCGGTGCATCCCGCAATGGAATCCCGCTAGCTCCGTTCCACGACATGACATAAAAGTTGTCATAAACCGCGAACGGTACGTGCGTTCCTATACGCATCTGTACGTCTTCGTAAATCGCTTATACCGCAACTATGTGTTTTCCGAACGCGTTGTGGCAAAATCGTTTTGCGACCATGAAGAACTTATTAGCGCGCATTCCGAGCGAGCAGTCTGGCTTAGCCAGAACGAAAGTATCGACGAGTGATTTTGCAACGAGACGAAAAATGTAAGGTATATGAGGTTCTTATTTAATTAG